TGTATGGCCGTGGCCAGACCTTCCCACGTCTAGGGGACAACAATTTCAGGAATTTCGAAACCGTGGTGTGGGACCAAAATCTGCCCACATAACTTTTGGTCCCATAACGTCTAAATTTCAAAAGGGGGCTGTAAAACGGTTGTTTTACGTACCTTCTTTGTACATACCTCGGTTTAAAAAAGGGAAGATTTTTGTTTCTCTCTCTCTCTCTCTCTCTCTCTCTCTCTCTCTCTCTCTCTTGTTTTGCTGGAAGTGAGGCTAATTTCCTGGACTGTTCGTCTCGGATTGCCGCTGAAGCTATCTTTAGGAGAGGGAAACATTGTGCGGACGTGGACGAGTCCACACAACGTCTTTTAACCCTACATTAGTGTACTTTTCTTTGGTTCAGCGGTCAAAACAATGTACACGTATGCCAAGGTTGTACTGTGCGACATGAAGCTAACACATGTAAAGGTAGTACATTTACACTACAGACCTCATCACTAATTAATTCATAATTATGCACGTATGCCCACAAATGAATACAACAGCTTTATTAATCTTTGAAAGTATCAGAAAATGTGAAGATTGTATTTTGAAACGGATATTTCTTGTTTTTTCTTCTGCTTCTTTTTTGTTTGTGTGTGTTTTTAAACATTGGAAAAGGCACGCTTGGCCATCGGTGACGTGCAGCCCCTAACGCCCCCCCCCCGTGGTTACTACCACCGACGTGCATGAAGGTATTCAAACTCGGCCGTGCACGTGCACCTTGGATGAGACCGCATTGTGCTAGCAGCCCTGCGTTAAATACTTGGGGTGCGTTCTATTAGCATACACAGTACAACCCTGACTAGGGGATGATCGCTGTCACGGTGTCAAACACGGCGAGACGATGGGTATGAGTCAAGCCCGAGTCCACTCGTGAAAAAAAATGAACGAGCGCACCGTGTACAACAAAACTGACCCTTTGAGTGGTACAGTTTGTCAACCGTTGCAGGAACTTCCTGTAAACAACGTGTTCTGGACCAGATAGCCGTCATAGAGATGACAAGGCAGTGTGCCCACTCGAGGAAGACAGTTAATGACACGTTTCAATCATAAAATGGTGTTTTGTTGAAAATTGGGTGCCAGGTTTGAGTACTACTTCCGAAGCACCCAAGGACAACCCAACCCTTATACGAAATAAACATCCATTTTGACCCCCTATGGCTAAGGTTCAAACTGTAAACAAGGTGTATTTTTTTTACTGTCGTTGAAGTTGGTTAGGAGAAGTTCATTGGAAAAAAAAATTAGAATTAGTCCAGAAAGGACATTGCACATATCGAAACGTCTTGTGGGATGTGAGAAAAATCCGCGAATGTGTGAAAAAGGCACAAGCAATAAAATCAAAGTTTGGCCGATGGTAGGAAACTAGCTAGGGCAACAACGTTCACAACCTGGAAAAACCAACGTTACTTGCAACCCCTCAATCCTGGTGGTGTTTTTCCGGTAATTTTTACAGCTATTTTGATATCCATTTTTATGACATGACATACTTCTTAGCGAGACAGGTCGGGACAAAATGATTTTAGTCACACTTCCCACTGACATACTGAAAACACTCAGGCAGACACACGGTGGATGCGAAACTGCAAGCGACTGCTACAACAAATCATACATTTAAACTTCACAGGGTTTATTCGTAATGAATTCCTTTACCAAGAGAATGTACCGGCTGTATTGTCGTCCAAAACGGCTACACTAGGATTGGAACACTGTACTCATGTCACTTGTATATGTTAATGCTTTTCAATTAAAAAACAAACAGCGAATTTTTTGAACAACGGGACGTTTGGTTTGGTCAACTGACACCAAAAGCTGCTCTCATTGCTTCAAACATGGCCGTCTTTGTGAAAAAATTAAACAGGGCAGTTTTTTTCATTTTATTATATATGTCATAAAAAAGACCAAGTGTGCAATGTCTGTTTACCCATTGTAGTTAAAGAATTATTTGGTTTCTATATCCTTTCAAGTACAAGAAACGTCGATGGGATACCGGTATGGTCCCATTATTCCTGTACTGTCAATCATGAAACAATCAAACCTGAGCGTACAAGAGCGCAGTTTTAAGGTGCATTGGGGTTTCTTTGACTCCAACATACCTAGTGCACACTTATTCCTATAGAAAAATGCAGCGGGGATATCACTAACCTAAATCATTAATGCTGACCATGAACACAAAGCAAGCATTCAATCGTGTTTGAAATTACTGAATTCAGGCAAATAATTCATTCCAACTTTTCGAATTTGTGCCCGTCACTCCACATCCGCCTTTACTATACCGGTGAGACTATAGGTGGGTTCGAGCGTGCTATTTGTGTTAACACGAGTATTTCCAAACACTCAAAGTCTAGAAGTGAAATCTGTGAATTAGCGTCAGCGAGAGCATGCCCTCGGTCACAGTACGAGTATACGCTTGATCCGAGTGTAATGCGTGCGCAAGCACCATTTGCCTGCAATTAGGAGTCAACACAACTATATACAACAGGGCGTGCGAATTAACGTACCCCATAAATCTCTCAAAAGACGTCATTTCCTACGGATGTCACGTGCATCGGCATTTTCGGCATCCAGTTTTCACGATGCGCATCAGTTGTGCCGTAAAGCGAAGACATTTTGAGCAAAATGCTTATTTAGAACATCTTAATATTCGACTTACACTCTTTAAAAAGGAGATACCAAAAGATTCAGTGTGCCAAACGCGAAAGCGTGTTGCAGAACGCGCGGTGTCTATTCTTTCGAGTCGGGCGTGCACGATGATTGTAAGACAGGTCCCTGACCTTGCCTTCTAACCATCGCTGCAGTACACATACGTGACTGACGGATTTCGTCGGCTTTTGAGAATGCGGTCAATTGGTCGTTGCCGTTGAGGATTCTGTTGAACTCGCATTCCCAAAGTATTTAATCTGAAAATCTAAAAGCTCAAACCCTCAGCATTGTGTCCGTTTTCACCTTCTGGTGTAAATATATTGAGCATGACCTTGTGTACGTGTTCAAGACGAATTATGCTGTGCACCCCCCCTCCGTGTTTATAGAAACAACAACAACTTCAAGCACGGGAGTGTTTTAACTGGTCGCCTAAAGAGTTTGAAAATCGTTCGAACAAAGTCATGTCTCCACAAGGATACAAATCCAGAAATGTTAGGCCACCCGGGAAAGAACTGGAACCGCAACGCCAAATTTTGAGAAATGGCTTAAGCTTCGACATTAACCGGCAACATCACTGGCATAACATAGTGACTAGTTCTGTTTACCGTAGCATTTAAGACGGGCATTAGGATGTATATGTTGTTTAATTTTAGAACTGATATCAATTCTGGGCGTCAGTTCTGGTTGTCCAATCTTTAGTCCCAGAGTTACAGGAAAAAAATTAAGTCAGCTGTTACCTAATTGCTTTACACGGCGTTTAAAATTCAACCAATAACGCCAACTTTTTCTTATTGTTTGGATTACGAAACCACCGACTCCTAATTATGCAATTTTTGGGACAGTAGCATTGTTTTATTCTCAATGGTGTTTTTTCATGTTTGAGACACAAATGGACTAAATTCATTGTTTTCCCTTCAACCGTACATAAGTTAATTGTAAGAGAAAATGGAAATTTAAAGTATATATTTTGCGTTCTCCGACCCTGCAAAATGTTACGGTGTGTTTGTAATCGAGTAGATACACGTGCTGACCTAATTGAAATACACACTTGCATACGGTTGCTTATCCGAGTCCTATTGACACCGCATTATAGACATATATTACCTACGCTAAAAAAGAATCCACATCATAAAAACTCTACAATTGGCCATTTCGGAGTATCATGAAAAATTTAAGACATCGCATAATTAATAACAGAAGATGATATGTCAATAAAAGAGATGACCTTTAGCGACGACACCGTCGCCACAGTACAATGATGTATTTCGCCTATTAGTTTGCTCCTAAGTATGAGTCTCCAAGGAAGACAGGACCCAATTTTTCTCTTCCAGTGCCGGGCGAAGCCATTCTCATGAAAAATTTAGGGAAGTTAGAATGTATTCACGTATGACAAAAGTAATGGCTTCGCTACCGTCTCATCGTATAACACAGTTCTTGTTTCACTGCTTCAAATCTCTTTAGGGGAAACTGGGTTTTTTGTTCTTTGATATATATTTTTCTCCTGAAACGTTGACATCACATTTGTTAAAAGTACGCATTTTGGGGGGGTCCACAGTACGACAGTAGCAAGCAAATTGCATGGATGCCAAATGCTTTTTGGTTGATTAATAATTGATTTATGATACAACACAAGGAAGAGCATTGTAATGGAAAGGCACAATGTATTCTGCTTGTTTACTGTGTTTTGCTATGGTTGTGACTTCTGTTTACATGGAAGTAATGGGTAATCTACAAAGAAGAAGAAGTGCTAGGAGTATGGATTGCGCACATCATCTATGATTTCAAGAAGGTTTCATGGGAGAAGAATATCCCTCCTGTTGCAATTCCCAGAAATGCACGTTGAATATACAAACTTACACAGAGCCTTGAAAGGTTGTGTTGAATCGAAAATGGCAATGAAGACAAGACAAATCCTTTGAAAAGGGCAACTGAACTGGGCAGAGACAGGATCGTGGAATGATGTACATCTAATAGTCTTATGGGGTCGTTATTAAAGACATTGTCAAGATAATTAGTTTATGCGCAAAATGAGTGACAGTTCGTGTAGCCTTATAGTGGGACATACCTGCATAATGCCCGTTCATAAGCTTTATCGTTTCTTGTTTTTTAATCAACCGATATCTCGTCAGGAAATAGGTATCATTTCAAAATTCAAAGTTCGTTTTGCATCTAAGTGAAGCATTTTGCCGTCGTGACCAATAAATACATTATGCAATTAAAACATTATTTGCAAAGGGCAAACATCAAAGCACTGATGCAGGATCTGGCGTTTTTCATTATCTAAATTCAACTGTATATTAATTTTGATGTGTATTCCTCATTCGGTTTGGCAGGTACTTTGGGAAGAATAGGCAAGAGAAACAATAACAAGAGAAGTAAGAGCAGCAAGAACTGCAGTGTGTAGAGAAATGAGAGCACCAAACGCAGCAAGCTATGACAATAACAAACACCAACAACTGATCAAAAACACACAGCGGCAAAAGCAGCAAACAGATTTCACTTGCAGTTACTCCACTTCCACACTCTACATGGTTACAGGTAAGCCTATAATAGATGTTTTTTAGGGTCCGCTGGGCAATATCTTCTTGATACAGACTAGTCACCTCTTTTCGGGCCTCCATCGGTTCTTGATACAGTGAACTATAAGGATCCCTTAAGTTCTCAATCAAAGATCATTACCAGAAATGAAAAGTGATGAGCGCGGACTATCTGCTCCGATCTTTGTTTTTATCTTTGGCTTGCATTAATGTACACTTGCTAAGCAAGCTAAAAAGGTCTCCTTAAATGTTGTTTATTGCATTCGAAGACGAAATCTAAATTAATTAATTAGTTTCTGTTGAAAAGCTTTTAACGAGGTCTGATGTTTTCATTCCCGCAGAATCTGTCTCGAAAAGAATGCAATTATTCTTGTTTTAAATTAACGATGTTATGACTCTTGCATTGCAGAGAAAATGTATAATTTCTTGTATAACGTGTATTTGTACAAATCATGTCTGCAATAGAGAATATACTTGTATTTCTGCAATATAGTGCATGCAACCACGACTAAATACATATCTCGGGCCTGTTGACGTCATCAGTGTGAGGGAAATTGAATTCTTTCACTCTCAAATCACCAACTGATTTTCTCCTTGGGGAATCTCGACCGCGTAGTTCTTGTTGACAGGATTTTTGTAGCTGGTGAACGCGTGGATCGCTGGTGTCAACCCTCGGTCCAGCCGTAAAGCATTCTAGTAGCCACCTGCACCAGCTGCCCTTGCACACGTGGAGAAAATCCATTTTTTTTCTACCAGTGCTTTTCGGAGGGTTGCTTTTTATGCTTCCGAGATTATTTCCTCATTCACTTATCAGTTCCAAGTAAGGGCTTCTGGGGGAGGTGATGTGATAAATATCGCAACATTACATACAGATCCCAATTTCTCGGTAGTGAAACTTGGAACCATAATACAAGCAATTACACCACAGACTCTAGGTATTCCGCTTACACTAGTCATTAGGTAAGGGACTACTTTTTGAAGGTAAAGGAAGCAAAATTACAAATAAAATACCTCTTCATAAAAAAAGAGCTTGTTAATAAATCCACATCATTCATAATATAACCTCAAAAATCTACAAAGTCCAAACGAAAAATATTCTTTAATTTGCTTTAATGCCGTTGATATGTGAAAATCATCTGAATCTTCATGTATTGCGACTCACACAGTTTTCTACGGTGTTTCATCACACAGCGAAAAACATTCTTCCAGAATTGTTTCGTCAGAATATACACTTTAAGAGCAACAAGCTAAGAGGTTGTTGTAGTTCCTTTCCCCAGCAGGTATTAGTAATATCAACATTTATTGAATAACAATAAGCTCTCCAGAGCTATAAAGAATAACAAAAACCTCTATTTAGTCCATAGGCTGGTTCATACTCGTGCAAGTTCGAAAGGAAGCGAATTTTACGTCATGAAATATTTTTAGTGAAATGTGCTTGAGTTTAATTATGTTCAACATTTTGACATTTTCAGCAGGTTCCAACTTTGCCAGATCTAATGGCATAGATCCCTATGATCTCGGCAGGTTTACAATATCTGTTCTTTTTTATTCGTGATAAACGATTTAATTTCGTATAAGTACAATTTTAAACAGTTCACCCTTTTCAAACCCTCAGGATTTGATACTGCGAATTAGGTCGACATAGCTTGAAGTGACGTATCCCCCCCCCACACACACAAATTCCCGGTACCCCCCAGGTGCCCCTCCACACTAAAAATGAATGGATATTGAGCAAGGCTAACAAAAACCTGCCCTCAAAAAGCCACATCACTGAAAGCTGGTGCCCCCCTTAAGATGCTGGTGTCCGCCTTGTGCCCCCCCACCAGTAAAATCTTAGCTACGCCACTGATATTTTAATGTCGATTTTTTATTAAATAACGTGAGAATTCGTCGATCTTATAGAAGAACCATTTTTCAATAGAAAGTCATCTATTCTATCCTTCCAGTTGTCTCTTAACTTATTCACAATGCACTCGCTCGATCAGAAGTCATGACTCGTCTTAGCCTTGGAAGGGAAAAGACAAGCACCGCGCGCAGTAGGCCACTCGGCTCCTCGTGAGTGGCCGCGGGGGCAGAGTGAAGATTTTCTCGATGGCTGTCGTGGAATCACGAGTGCAAAGCGAGGTTCAGTGGTTGTTTAACAACCACTGCCGTTCACCGTTTGAAACGTAGCATCATTGTTTTCTTAAGGAGAAACTGAGCAAATTAAAAGACTACTCGATTAACTGCTGCGTGGAAAAGATCGTAATACATGTCTTACACTCTTTCAGGGTTAAAGTAATCCAGGAATTCCTACCTTGTCAGATGCCCCTGCTTTTGTTTTAAACCGGTGAAACAGTAATGATTTTTTTTATGAATCTAAAAACACACCGATTAAAGTAGTGATCTGATTTAGGAAATGTTTATTATTTATTAAACGAGAAATCGACATTCGCCAGTTCCAGGTCGGTAAAATTCATTAGCTACTATCCCCTGCTTGTACACTACTTACTTTCTGCAAAATTATTGTTATCAAATGCGGTAAAAAAGTTTAGGAGTAAAAGTACGCAGCAAAGACTGTAGGGAAATTATTTTTAAGTTATATTTCAAGCTTTTCTGGGGCATTAAAATCCTACCCTCGATTTTTCCTTTTCATTTTAACTGCAAGGAACTTTTATTATGAACAATTTCCATGGAGTTTTGTAAAAATGCATGTTTCATATTTTCTGCTAGATTTGCATCACAGTTTCCATTTTATTATTGTACATTTCGGACGTATTGTTTCTAGTTAGTAAGAATATTTGGGATTTTACAAGTAAATGTTGTTTTATGGCAATAGGAAAATCATTTCATTGTGAAATGACAACTGCATTTATGGTCCAAATTGACTTCATATTATTCAATTAGAAAAATTAAAAAATTTAGGAGGCCTGAATGACTACCGAAAACTACTTTTCTTCTGGTAAGTAGTTTCCCGTAGGTAAAGTTCATTTTTTTATCTATTTGGTTATACTTGGATGATGCCATTTCGCCTTTTTAATTCCCATCCAGCAGTTGATGAAAAAAAATTCCTCAGGGAGGCATTGTAATTTTGCCCTTTATACCCTAGGCTCGTAGTAGAAATCAGGCCCTGTTCTTAAACGGCAGATGCCACTTAATTACTTTGCCATTAAATCTCCCTTTGCCTGGACAGACTTGCATCGGCAGCCAGGGCAGATTTCGACAGACCATTCTTACAGCCGGGACGCCGGATAAGCCTAGAAACAATATTTACGCAAGGCAGCGAGGCTCAAGAGGGGCTACCCACGTAATCTTTGAGGCGATACCCACGAGGACGGTCCGAGTTAGCCGTGATGGGCTTCCTGATGATGAAACCTTTGAAGGAGATTTGTGGCCATGATCGCCCTTTCGCTAAATTGACATGCATGCGTGTAGAATGGAATACCCCTACAGCAACATTAAGACGCAGACTGCAACTTCTGTTTAAGTGTTTCGTTCAGTGAGTTTTGGCTTACTCAAGTTCTATTGTTTTCTGTTTTTGCTGAGGGAGATACAAACAACTATTATCGTGAATATGATTCGCATATATTTGAATAAAATTATTTAATGGCGCCAGGAGATTATTTGACAAAGTGTGTGTAGTTACATTCTAAAAAAAATGAAATGCTAAAAACGGGTGCTGAGTTGAAACTTGCGCCACGAATGCTAATTATAGCACATAACGCACAAGCCGGGATTCAGAAACGATTAGGTGCAGAAAACTGGGTGCTGAAAATAAGTTTAATGCGTGTATTACACTTCAAGTGTAGCTCTGCATGTTTTAGCACCTGGACTGAATTCCTGGATGGTTGAGCAGTGCTGCCTCAAGCGTAGAGCACCTAAAGGCGATCTACCAGTAGATTGGTGCACCAACATGTGCTTTATTAGCACCAATGGTGTGACGTCATTACACCTCGCAAGCGTAATTCGATGCATGTGGTATAACTGGCGGTTCATGAAGCTAGGCATCACTACATATCACCAGATCGGAGGCATTGCCAAGATCAAGTAATCACGCTATCGGTAATGATTTTCCGCTTCACGTTTCTGTTGAGTCTCTTTAAGTACTTTAGGCCTGGAGTCTAGAGTGCAGAGTTGAATGCTGCTATAATCACAGTGTTTTGTAAACGAAGCATTAATGGCGCTCACGTTCCATCAGTGCCAACGAAACAGCTTGCTTGGCTTTGAAATTTCAGTACTAAAGAACAATGACAAGGCATTTTCAGTAGCGTCCTTGCTTAACTAAGTTTAAAGGATGCAACGTCAAACCATAGAGCAAACCTAAACAAACTTGTTATGGTAGGCCTTCGGTGCATGACGTACTGTCATGTAGGCTAGGCCACATTTTGTACACCAGTGCATGTACATGATTGTGCTTGAAACACTCTGTATTTCTTTGAAATTCAAAGATAAAAGAGCAGGTTTAAATCAAAAGTATGTGTCATATTTTCCCCTTTTGTAATGCAGGAGTGCAACAGCGACAAGGTGTTTTGTGTGTTGCACTGCACGTGCTGGATGTAGGCTAAAGTAACACTATGAGTGCTGTTTACCAGCCTATACAAGGAGTTGTTTTAGCACTCAAAGTGTAACAGCACTAATGGAGCAAAAGTGATAACACTTAAAAGTGTTTTTTTCAAGCACCCAGACTGGTGCTAACCCATTACATTTAAACAAGTGCTAATGTAGCACAAATTTTGCAGTCCCTTTGCAAGCACTAACAAGTGCTATTGCCATGTCGCCAGGTGCTAAAAATAGCACTTCATTTTTTAGAGTGTATTTTGTTTTGTAATAATGGTTATACAACCGCAATCAGCTCCAAGCAAAACAAAAGACGGCGCGTTTTTTAAGTACTCACTGCGTAAGCACGCGTTTATTATGGGTGAGTACTAGTAACGAATTTATCTAATGTATGGTCTTTGTGTACATGCAGAACGCCTGCAAGAACCCGCTTGGAAAACTTACTTCCATCTGTCTTTCTTCTGC